TAAACTATTAAAAAAAAAAAAAAGACAATCATAGACCAAAACTATGGATTATACAACAGGTACAAAATAAATGTAGAAAATAGCTTCAATTCCTGGGGTGAACAGTATATCAGATTGTTGCCATAGAAATTTTTTTCACTTTTGCAGCTAGTTCCTAGATCATTAGGCAAGTTTAAAATCTGAATCTCCTGTTTACTTGCTGAAAGTTCATGCTTTCCTGTATTTCCATTGAATAAGATAATTACATTTCTTCCTACAGTTTATAAAGAATAGTTATATACTTTACAGTAACTGCAAATCTTTGAGATATTTTGTCCATATAATCTTGCCTATGTGTTTGTATTTGTGAGTTTAACAAATTCTGGCCAACAGTGTACCTCATGATGTAACCTGTACATATACCGTGCTTTCCTACCCAAGAACACACTTACGCAGTACAATTTCAATTTCTTCTAAATTTTACTGGTAATTTAGAAACCATTTTCTGATTTCCTTTGAATCCACAGTTCTGAGGAAATGATGGTATATAGTAGGATTCCACTTGGATAAAACAACTTAAAATTACGGTAAAATAAATAAATAAATCTAGAAGTAGCTCCCACTCACAGCAATTAGTTGAAGTCATTTGCTGTTTTGATGAGTAAAAAAACTGTATTATGAGAAAGGTCCACCTGTGGAACATAAACCACAGGACAAAGTTTTGTAAACCTATTAATGATAGTCAGTATTGACTGAAGTAACTAACAGACTGAACTGACTGAAGAAGTCTGTTAAATTGATTTCAATAATGATAGCTGGAGAAATCTTTGGATATTGGACATACCCATTCTAAGAGTTCTGTTGCCTTTTAACACAAAGCAGAGAATAGAGTGTCATTCTCTTGCAGATTTCATAAACAGCATCACTGGGATGGCGAGACAAGTGTCTATTTCTCTCCGGTTTGATACAGACATTACAGCCTTGAGGAGGATGCAGGTGTATACTGGGAAGATTGGTGTACAACAGCATGTTCTAACAGTTTGAGGCAAATCTTCATACGTTGCTGGGTTTCCTTGGATGTTTGAGTTTAATGATAACATGCACTAGAATTTCTGTGAAGAAAATGCTTCAGAGCTCTTGAATCGAAAAAGACTCCTGAAGAGAAGATATTGTACATAGTATTTTTTAATAACCTATGCCTCTCAGGCTGTCTGGTGCTTCTTAATCTGTCTGATCATCAGGAATTAATTTCAAGGCTTTAAGGGAGAAAGCAACAAGAAGCATAACTGCGGTGCAACTTCACTGAGGCTTCCTAAATCTCAAAAGGATTATAGTTCTTTTCTTAGAGTACTCTGAAATATAACATTGACAAAGATAACAACCACAGATAAGCAAATTCAAAGAAACCAACTTATTCAGCAGTTGCTTGGAGATAAAGAATACAGAGCCACCAAACTGAGTTGGTTATTTCAGATGAACAGGGTGAGGGAGCTGCAACTGGATCCCAGAGAATTAGACCATGCTCCTACCTAGCAGGAAATACAGGTATCTTGGAAACTACAAAATTTCAATGGATCTCAGAAACTAAGGAAACTAAAGTCACAGTTCTAAGGGTTAGGTGGCCAAATTAAATGTCTGGGCAACTATACTTCAGTTCTGATTTGATTACGTGCACTGAAAATTCTTCATGGCTCACAGCCTAGCATGGATTCCTCTCCTTTCAGAGCACTAGGATACAAATCAGCAAGAAGGACATATATCACTAAGAATGATAAGATGCATGGGATAAAGAGATTTAAAGATGATAACAAAGATTGGGTATTCAGCTACTTCCCAGAGAAAAGAAAGTCTGAAGCACCATAGTAAGTTGGCTATTTCACACGTAAGCAGGGAAGACTTTCTTGGTGCTTGGTCCTATTTTACTACTTGCCATTAGTATCAGTAATCTCTGGCAATATAATGACACACTTAGGATGGTTTTTAGGAAAAAAGTAAATCTGAACCAATAAGTACTGACAGGAAAAAATACTGCAATCATCAAAAAGACATATAGCTGCCACCAAGCCAAATACATTTAGCATGCTTCCCCTGTGCAGATTTTAAACCATCATAGGGCATACAGATTTTGAGTCTCAAGATTTTAACTCCATCATGACATAGCAAAAGCATTTTAACTCTAAGCAGATAGTCGTTTTAACAGTAAATTAACAAATAATGTCAATGAAGAAGATAATTTGTAATAAAAAATACTTAATATTTAATAAAAAAACCCTTGAAACTAAAATCCCAGAAACTAAAACAGCGCAAAATTTTTTTGTGGTGTGATGTTCTAAGGCATGAATCGGAACTGCAGAATTAAAGTTTATTGTCACAAAAGCAGGCTTGGAGATCTTAGGGCTACAACATACTCCTGGATATTAAGGTTGCGCACATACCCTGCATATACTCTTGTTCCTCCGTCCAAGAACAGGTTTCAGCCCTAAGAAAAACAAATAAAACACTCCAAATCTGCTACAGAATGCATAGGTGTGCAACAAACGGAATCAGGCAAACACCTGAGGGAAAGCAGGTATATCCACTACTCCTTAGGGAGCATATCAAGATAGATAGCTCTCTGTCACACTGAAAGAAAATGGAGATTCTTTTCTACCAAAAGACTTCATCATATTTAGGATACGGTTTACATTATGGAAGAACTTTTGGCAGTAACCATGAAGAAAAATCGTTTTATTCATCTTGATTACTGACAGGGATTTTTCCATTATGTAAACAATAGCTCATAGGTATTCAGGCATCCAAAGGTTTGAAACAGCTTTGAGAGCAGACAGCAACTGACTTTGCTGAATGCAAACTCATCATAAAAACCTCTTGATAGTTATTATTCTAAGAAGCACATTGCCTCTGTCTTTGCCTGCATAGACTACCAAGTGCGTAAAAAGTACTGAAAGAGCCTGAGAAGTTGCTGGGGGGGCATGCAAATTTATTCAGACCTTTTTGAATCAGTGAAAAAGCACTTGGGCTAATCCTAGAGCTGTGCTTGTTATTCTAAACTGTTGCAAATGTCTTCTTAAGATAGTAATAAGAATTTAACTTTGATTTTAGATAGCATTACACACAATAAAATATGACACAAAATTAGCAATAGTGTATATACCCTATGCAATTTCGACTGTGTTCAAATTAAAGCAGGTGGGGCTTGCTGAAACAAATATTTTTGGGCCATAACAGGGTACTTTTAAGCACTTGCTTTCAGCGAGAAACTGTTCTTTCTTTGTTTGGACATCATATATGCCCAGTTTTTAGTATTTGATCTGAAAAAGCAGAAGAATCAATTCATAACACAAAAAAGGCAATTTCATCCCCAAGTAAATTTTTCCAACAGCACATAATATTGGGATGACAACACTCTAACCCTTCACTAATAATTAGTCATCATGTCTTAGTAGAACATAATATAATAAAAAACCTATTTTTCTAACATTTTTTTCATCTTTTTTCTTTTTAACATCATGTACTTTAGATTGCCTCTTTATATCAGATATTATTGGGGTTTTTTCCTTCCAGATGCTTAGAGGTTAGGAAAGGATTTTATTTCTTTTGATTCCTCTCCTGGGAAAAGAATCTACCAGCTTGTTAGTTTCCTCAGTACTCCCTATATAACAAAAAGTGGCATATATGGAAGGCCTCATTTTCTTTTCTTAGCTCTACTCCAAAGATGCTGTGAGCACCTGCAACGTCTGTTAATTTCCTTGGGTATTGCAGGTGTTCAGCAGCTCTAAGGATTGAACGTACTGGGACCAAACAAATGTGAGAAGCTCATACTGGATCCATGGAGCTAATAAGGACTGAGAGTCCTAAAATAGACAGCAGTGAACTTACACCACCAAAAAAAAAGTATTTCTTCCAAGTGAACACATCAAGAAAGATGGGACTTGTTAGAAAAATACCTTACTTCTCTTTTCTTGAATGGCCATGTTCACCAGCTCTCATTATATTTTGCAGACTGAAACAGGGTAAGATTTGTTCCTACTCACATCTGAATCTCAGTCTGATTCCCATGGCTGTTACGGTCACTATACAATTAACATAAAAATATTTTCTGTCATTCTCATCCTCTGGCCACCAAAGTTGCATTCTCCCCTTTTCTTCTTTAATGCTGTATTTTATTATTTATTTTTTGTCCTTTTTTCTGTGCACTGCTAGTTAATTGTGTTTTATATATGGTGGAAAATTCTAATAAAAGCACTCGGACTTAGAATAGAAACTTTTCTCTTTTTTAATTGATGGAAAATCTGCAAGTTTAATTAGGCAACCCATTGAGATAAATGCATCAACAAATAAATTTCCCACTCATGAATGCAGTACAGCCAATGAGAAACTGCCTAGCAAGTTTCAATTCACTTGGGTACCGAAGCATTTATACCCAACACATTTGGGCCAGATAATAGCTTTCTCATAAAACCCAAGGATTACAGAGTGAACTCCAGCAGGGCAGCTGATTCTTAAGCACTGGGAAATCTCCCCCTGGATTAGAGCACACATATTTTTTTCTTTCAGAGTGACAAGCGAACAAGTGCATGCCAGGAACATGCCTGAAGGAAGAAGGGGTTAATACGAAACTGCTCTTTGCAGGTAGTTACTATCCAGGCTTTTCTAGGTTGCTCTATAAATAAGCTGGTCCCGATGACCTGGAGAACACGGAAGTACAAAGATCCTATTTAGTCTACGAACCTCTTGTTCACAATGCAGGTCATTTCTCTGTTTACGCTATGCACCATCTGAATCCAGAAAAGAAAAAGGTGAGGCTAGTCTGACACTGCTGCTGCCAGACACTGGGAAAAACTGAGAAGGTATGATCTTGTGATTAGAAATATGAAGTGATGTTGATACATAGTATAATGCCTTAAAAAGAAGAAACGTAAAAATTATTTTAAAATAATAATCACAGAATACGGGTTGTAACTTTTATAATAAAGCCAGATGTTCAACCTTGTTTAATAACTGACACAAGGAAGCAAAGGTATTTATAAAGGAGATCTTTATTTCTCATGATTCAAAGAGACATTGCGCTTTTTACTTTTGCAGCTGAAAAGCAGCCAGTGTACTTGAGGAATCAATTAAAAATAACAGAATAAAAGTGAGGAAACAGCAGTATCAGCTCAGAGCTTTCAACCTATCTGCAATTTGCTTCCACTTAAAAACACGACTGTTTCTTCAGAGCAATAACTGCATAGCATCTGGGGGATTTCACGGGATCAAATAACTTCACAAGTCCAGACCAGGCAATGTTGTCCTGTAAAATGATATATGATTGAAGTACATAAAAATGTGTTTGAATTAAAAGCTAAGCCATGGTAATAGGTCCACATTTTGAAGTACAAAATTGCAAAAAAATATTAAAAACTATCCTTAATGCAAAGCAGAAAAAACACTTACCTAACAATAAAATCACAGAAAGTTTGCTGAGAAAAAAGGATACCCAAAACAGGATGTACTTTAAAGACATTAAATTATTTCTGGCACTATCAAATGACAGCTTACCACCCCCTTCATCAATAAAGCTTTTTTTCAGTTGTACTAGAGCAAAGAAATTAAGGATCAAATCCTACTCATTTTATACAGCACATTCTACTACTGAAGCTAATTAACTGACTTTTCAAATGAATAAGGCCAGCTGGATCTGGTCTTCATGTTGCATATGGCTTTTATCATTTCTATTTTTTCTTCCTAAACACATTTTGTGAATCAACCAGTACAAGATTAAATCAATGCGTATATTACATTTAGAAAAGGTACATTAGTGCTAAATGCAGCAAGGCTGATCTCCTGTCTTGGAAATCATACAGATCTCTATGTGATTTATAACTGGTTGGCATTTGGGAAAATACATCATTATTTAAATATTTCAAATTGCCTCTCTGTAAAAATACCAGTTAGAACAAAAGCATACATTTACTACAACTCAGTTGTTCCAAGTGCACTGTGGCAGAGGATAAAGTGAATTTTTACTTATGATAAAATGGAGCTGTTAAAACGGAAGGTTTATGGTGGAAAAACAGAGCTATTCACATGAATGGGTTTAAACTTTATTTTAAAATTTTATTTTGACTGTGGCCCAGAGCAGAAGCTGGAAGACGCTACCATTTCCTCCTAGCAAATTATTATTTGTCCAAGAAATATTTACTGGTGCAGAGAAAGTATGACTGCTGCTTCTGAGTTAATCAGGCCAAGCTCAAAATTAGTGTTAGAAGAAACACTGTAATATAAATCATTATGGAGTAAACGTAGTAGCATTTGCTTATTATATCCCAGGTCTATACTTGTAAAATATATCCAGGCTGTATGTTAGTCAAGTGTACCTCAGTTGACCCATACAGTTGGAAAAAGTGCACCCTCTCTCATCATTGATCTTAATTAAGAAACAATAAAAGGAAATCATAAACATTTTGGACCTAATTCAAAATTTCTTGAATTATATGTTCTAAAACATATTCATTGGAAGCTCTAGCATGTACAGAACAATGTTTGTTTAGCATTTCCAATACTCTTTTTAATTATTAAATATCTCAATATGTTGTATAAAATGCAATTTGTTGCATATTTAATTAATTATTTTTTACTGTCTATTGACTAGTAATTACCATACAATTAAAAGAACATAAACTTCACTGTTGCTGCTTTGCTGAAAATAAAAACATCTGCTGGGCATATGTTTATAGTAAAAGGAAAGAATGCTTATACTTTTGCAAATATGATGAGAATAATATTTCTGCAACAGAGACTTCTCATCTGCACAGTAATAAACTGGCTGAAATAGTCTCATTTCACTGATGTAGCCTTTAGGTATCATAAAATATAATGCAAAAATACCTGCTCCTTGAGGTAACAAAGACGATCCAGAAGTATCAAAACTTCTATGCAGGGAGCCAGAACAACCTTCAACTGAAAGAAAGATTAGATACTATAATGATTTTGGGAAAGAGAGCCAATACACTTCCGAATGGTTACACTTCCACAGAACAATTCCAGGAAGGTCAGTCATTTTCTAGTGGTTCTGTTGGACAAATGTCACTTTGCCAATTTTCCCTGTGGGATGGACATCTTCAAAACAGATTATATTAAAGATCAAAAATACATGGAATGCCATAAAGCCAGGAAACTATGTTATTTAGTTGGTTTTGAGACATTGTCCAACAAGAAAATGATATTATATGAAGCAGAACAATTTTAAAGAGGGAAATAATGAATTTTAATAAAAAGAATTTTTATGAAATAACTGCATGGAGACCAGTCTAGGTTTAAAAGGAGACTGACATTTCATTTTCCAGGGTAATAGTCCCTCTTGAAAAAGAATCTTCCATGTGTTCGCTTTATTATTTTACTGACACCTAATATAGTTTTGGAATAGGATATGCTCCAAAGTTTGGAAGGGGGAGCTGCTTTGTTTTTGAGACTGCATACCACAGCATAAGACAGTCCACCTCCACATAAAACTTAACAGGGCTTTGTTCTAGACGAGGACATATATACAAGGTAATAGTATTAATCCTATAACTTTTACCATATTAAATGCTTCAAGCTCATTCATTCTGTGCTTGTATTTTTCATGGTAATCCATTATACAGCTGTCTGGGAGCTGCAAGGGATTAAAAAAAAAGATATCAGAGTTATTCTAGTTACTTTTCAAGAGAACTTTAAAATGAAATATTTTTTTCCTAATTGAAAGTCACACTACAAAATGAAATCTGTGTTTTGTTTTCAAAATGAGCACTTTCCTAAGGTTTGTAATAATTTTCTAATAGCAGTTTCTCAGTTCTCATTTACAATAACTGTTCTTCAGACAGCATTTTGCACTGACATGAAATACTGAGATACATTCATTATTCAGAAAGCTCTAGCCATTCTTAAATGAGTATTACACAGTAAAGTGGAGATAACATTCTCATTTCCTTTCCCATATATCTTTTCCCCTCCTCACCGCCATCCCCAAGAGATTTATTTAAATAGCTGAGGAGTGGGTTCTGGTGTGAGAGTAACATGCTTCAGTCAGGACTCCTGGATGGTATTTTTACAAGGCCTCCATTACAAGGCCTACTATCAGATTCCGGAAATAATACTTTGTTTCTCTGTGCCTCAAGTTACCCATCTTTAAAATAAAACTTTCTCTATTTGCTTTGAACTACTACATGTTCCCCTCTTCTTTTCCCAGTCACCTGATGGAACGTTGCCAGCATTGCCACTATGACTGTAAATGCTGTGATTTGGGGCTGAATTTGACACAAAAGCAGCTCAAGAACTCAGCTAAGCTAAATACCCCTTCCCTTTTCAGCCCTTAGAGGCCACTGCACCAGCGCAGGTAGCTAAAGCTATGACCATAACTGCTTTTCATAAAGCCTGTTCTCTACAGGGCAGCCAGACCATAAAATTTTCCAGGTTTTAAAGGCCATGATGTCTCTATTCTTCTGCTGTCCACAGTCCTGGATGCTAAAGAAGACAGCTGAGCTGGCCGCTTAAGGAAGCTGTCAGAGGAGTGGGAAGGAGGTTTGCAACGTTACCGGTGATGGAGGC